AAAGATTTGAAATAGCCATGGGACATACCAATGATAATGACATAAAAAAAAAAATTCTCGATGTTATTATTAATCAGATTAGTGAATTGCATATAAGCAAAAAGATTTAGTAACCTCTTCATGAAAATCAGGAACTAATTCTTGGGCAAGTAAATTATCATAAATTATAGATTTACCTTTAAAAAAACCTGTTTGCTCCAACGAGATAATATTAAGTAAAATCAAGGCTAAACTACCCATAATGATTTTTGAAGGCAACGTAAATTTAACAATAAAATAATTTTTTTAATTAATTGAATGGTCCAAGTCTATTTTTCTCTTGCATTAATTAATTTCACTCTACAACTCTCTCAACACACAATAGTATTTGAACTTTGCTTCGATTTTGAATACTTTCTTGTGATGGAGAAGTATAGAGAGAATAAGGAGGATATGCATATGATTTTTATTGATTTAGAGAAAAGCATATGATTTTGCCGACCCCACGTAGTGGGATAAAGGCTTGATGTTGTTGTTGTTGTTGTTGTAGAGAAAGCATATGATAAAGTTTCAAGAGAAGTGCTATTTTGGAGAATGTATTTTTGGTTGGGTTGCTTCTGTTCATCTTATATTGGTATTTATTTTCTATTATTTAGTTTTTTAAATTTTTTTGTCTTTATTTTAAATTTTTTTTATTTGTTCCTTATTTTTAATATAATTATCTTAGTGAGGGGGAGATTAGGAGAAAATAATTTTAAATTTATAAATTCAACCTGTAATGTTTGTCATTATCAAAATAGGGTAGATTGTTGCAACTAAATAATAGAAAATATACCAATACAAGATGAACAGAAGCAACCTAACCAAAAATACATTCTAATTGCGAACTTATAAAGATTTTCACCCATAGCATATACCAACTTATACCTATGATTCCATCATCCCGGGACGTCATGATCCCTAGTCTACTTAGTCAGAGGAGGTAGTCGACCCAATCTGATAGAAGGATCCTTGTTGGCAGCCATGGGTTGCTTCGTCCAAAGGTATCTTGTAAACATGCAGTGATGCCTCTGATCTCAGAGACCACAGTAAAACTAGCCCACAATGTTCAATAATTTTCTAGCTTTCTTTACTTGTTCCTGTCTCAAAACTTTCACTGGAGGCGGGATTACATAAACAACCACTGTGTGATCTAATCACTTAACCATTATTGAACATAATTGAAAGCGTTGGAACATTACTAATTTATTATACACACTTCATAATAGTAAAAAAATTATGTTCACCTCATCACCATATTTATTAGCCAAATATAATCACTTCATTATGAAAGGCACTTTTGACATCCATTTTAAACAACTTAAACCCTTTAAAATAGGATATGAAGAATTCTTAAAAATAATGTGTAAGAGATTTGAAATGAGCATGATTGAAGAGCTAAATTATTTACATGGATTTAGTGTGAAGCAGAGGGATGATAAAATCTTCCTTAGCTAATCTATATACATGAAGGACATCCTTAAGAAAAATAAAATGGATGATCTTTGTGTCCTTGTTATATAAAAAATGAGGGAATCATCCCTCTGATTTTATTCGACCATCACTCCTTGGTTTTTTATGGCGTGAGTATGCGTTGGCCATGTACCACATGCTCTCACGAGATCTTATGTGAGAGCACACCAACAAAATCATCAAATGTTAGATTTAGGAACACAAATAAGTTTGTGTATGTTATTATGGAAAGAAGAATAAAATATATGTGTTATGATGTGATGGGACATACCAATGATAATGATATAAAAAGACCGTAACATTATTAGCATAGTAAGCTTGCATGAAGCAATTCAAGTTTGGATTCAGAGACCCACACCACAATATATATTAGCTTCCATTTTTTTTTAGGGAAACCCACGGCGGGGTTTACGCGTTAATATAAAAAAACGATTACAAAATTCTTAAAGAGAACTCAAGCTCCCTATTGCTCCGAAGATCTACAAAATTAAAAGAGAACTCAAGCTCCCTAGCATAAGATAAATTTATGATATAATTCTTGTATAAATATAATGTATAATGCTTGTACGTAGTGTGTATAATGCTTATATAAACTTGTACATATCGTGTACAATACGTGTACATAAGCTTCCTACTGCTTATGTCATCTTGTTTTATCTTACACTTTAATTTGAGTTTGTTTGATAGCAAAAATCTCACAAGAATGTATGTTTCGGACTAAATCAGCTCTTCATAAGCAGCTGTCACAATCATTATTTTTTTTTAAATTAAATACACCATAACTTTATTAAGAGTGTTTAAGTCAACATACCTCTTGTTCATAACTTCATATCAGTTAAAAGCTAGTAATTGACATATTTAGTATTACTATTTAATATGCAATTTTTTACAAATACTCTTTTGTAATTCATTCAAATGATACTAGGCAATTAATAAAATTCTAGAGGTCTAATTAGGTTCTAAAGAGTACTAATAATAACATATAACTAATTTCTAGACAAAGAAATGCTAATATAATTGCAACAAATAAATCATACTAATAGAATATGCTCATATGGATGAATAAGTTGTCGTGTAAATATTATAACATGTGTTTAATTTTTGTAGTAAAAATCTGTAGTACTTAACTACTTATCAGTGCAATATTCCCTCATCATTTAGGATATTCTCTTGTATTGTATTTCTATTATTGCTCTCTTCTTTTGTCTTTATATAGATTTTTGTATTATCATTATAATTGAATCATATTTGTATTAGCAAAGATGTAACCTTTTAAAGAAAATTAATCCAAATGGTTTGAAATTTAGGGGTGATGAATTGTACTAACTTTTTGGATTTTCGAGATGGATGGAGGTTTGTATTTCAAGTTCTGTAATGACATTTGCTTTAAGCAAATTTCTTAAAATATAGCTACACTTAGCCTATGAGATTTACGATATGAATTTGTATATCACTAAACCAAAAATCAAAAATAAAATCATTATCCTTATGATCATCCATGATATGAATAATATTATTTGATAATTTATCAAGAATCATGTTTTTAGATTGCTCATTTTATTCATTAATTATAATAACCATGATTTGTTTAGTATTATATCTAGCAGTAGGTTATTTTCATTGGAAATTCAAGTTCATGTCTGACTTCATTCTCAAGTCTCCTCTCAAGCTTTATTTCTTACTTTTAATCAGATCTAGACTCATAATGTAGCTGCAAATCATTTTTTCTACATCCAGAACATCATCAAAATAGGACCTGTAAATAACGAAATGATTCTTACATTGGTATAGGCTTTGGATGTGAGATGTTTTTGAGTCATTCTGAGGAATAAGCACAAATGCAACAACTTTAACAGGAGAGTGGGTTGTTGTCATGTTCTTCAATATCTAAAGTTATGCATAAAGCCTAATGCCATATTTTTAGTAAAATTTAGCTTAGTTCATCCTTAATTTATTTATTAAGATTTTTTGTTAAACAAATTATAGTAACAAAACAATTTAAAGGCAAAGAGTATTTTCCTTCAAGATCCTTAAATCTTTATTCTCAAATATATCATTTCACCTTGTTTATAATTCTTAATTGATCATGTTGTTAATATCTAATTCTCTATAATCACTGAATGAAAATATTATTTAATATTTAAGCCTAGGTTTCGTATTAGTCCAGAAAGATAGTAGCAACACTTCGCCAAAATAATGAAATATATTCCATTTGTTTTTATTTGGCACATTCTACTCTTTTGGAATCAGACATTGCATTTTTCCAAGGAAATCTTCCAAAATATCAATCCAATTTAAATGTTTTGTAAGATTATCTTTCATTGAATATGGGAATGTAATTTTCAACTTCCTATTAAGTATATGAATGCAATTTTAAATATTTAGAATACCTCTCTTAGACTATTTTTGGTGACCTAAATTGGACACCAGCTCAATGAGCAAAGTAGATAATGCGAAGTCACAATCTCTTTCCCCACCTTCCATGTCTTTGTTGACGTCGTTGTCCATGATACTAAAGTAGATCGAACATCTGCTGTTTTTCATTGTTGCCATCCACAACATTGCATTTTTGTCTCCATCCCAACATCTACCATTCTTGTCAACCACCTCCACCGTCACTGCCACCTTGTCGATTATATCTCATTATTGTTGCCACTAATTTTGGTAAAAAATTTTGATTCATTTTATTTCTAATCAAACATGAAAGAATTCTTAAGTTTATTTATAATTAACTAAATAACATTGGGTGTTTTAAATACACTATATCTAGTTTTTGTTTAAAAGGACACAATGTAGAAAAAAGATTCATGTAGCCGACCCAAGTAGTGGGATAAAGCTTTAATTTTGTTGTTATTGTTGTTGTGTATATCTACTTTGTGTTGTGTTAAAATACAAATGTATTCTAAATTCTTGCAACCAATAACATATAAAAAATTATCATGAAAATTCCCGTGAAAAGGAACCATACGTCTCAAAATAAACAATGAAATAAAAATTCCAAATATTGATTCATGTTGGCCTAGAGTCAAAATCAAAATCTCCTATTTGAGTTTGACTTCGCTGAATATGATTTTATAATAACCCTAAGCTGCTCTATTATGCACGGATATTATCAACAAGATAATGTAGAGTAACTTCGTTACTTCAAATCATGCATGGGCTTCTTTCCGTCTTATTAAATTTTTGTAGAAAGTATGATTAAATGATATCTTGAATTAGTTTCTCCTGATTCAATAGTTTATTTATTCTTTATTGAATTTAATCAAATAAACCTCTAAGTGTTAAGTAATGCAAAAGAGGCTTTAGGCTTGTTGAAATTTGCTGTGAGATGAGTGTGATATAATTGTTGTTTGATTATTCATATATTAGAGCTTTCAAGTTTATTATGATATGTTCTTAACTAAAATTTCTTCCTAAATGATGACCAGCTTTTTCTAGATGGGTGTTAGTTTTATAAATATTGTAAAATTTGATGAGATGTGCTAAATCATCACATTTCTTTTATGCAGCTTGAGGTAGAAGAAAGAGGTCTAAGCTGTGTTACTGCAGTAACACCAACAGAAATAGAGGCCGGCTATGAAGGCTTCAACTGACACATTTGACTTAGTGAGTTCGTAACATGTAAATAGTTAACTATCTAATGTCTTCAGGTAGAAATTGCAAAACTTGGCTTTTATCTCTATGTTTGTTCATAGTTTTTAGTTTCTGACACTGATACGAACTCTTTCATTTTATAATCTGTTAAGCATTTGGGTTGGTTTCGGTTCATGAAAACAAGAAATATGTGTATGATCTCTGAAACGAATGGTTTTTATTTGTGTTGAGAAATTATTTTGTGCGGATATCGGATCGTCCGGAGTCAAATCAGCGCCATGTCATTCGGTATAATGGGTGGCCTGACACGTTCTGATTCGCCTCCGGACGGTGTTTGTATCTGCACAGAAACATTTCACGGCAGGGTTATAAATGTGTTGCGTGAAATGTTGTAGTTATAATTTAATATTCTAGAGTTGTATGGAGATTCTAAGTCGAGAGTAGAAAAGGTGAAAAAAAGGACTTATTCAGTTGAAATTGCTTCACTAATATGACATAACTGATTTGAGTTAGAGTTTAAAGGACATTTTACTCATAATTAATGATGGTAATATAACGTAGTAGATTTAATTATGAAGGGTGTCAAAATGTAGGCGAGTTCGTTTAGTTGTTTTGATTTGAGGGGTCTTATGTTTTTTTAGAAGACTAGCATTTGGCGTGATGGTTGTGGATGTTGGGTGTCAATAGATATCACATGAATTGTTAATGAGAAAGTTCAAATGTTCTTTGTTGACCATTGCGAGATGCCTTCCAACGATTAAAATCCAGAATTTAATAGTTATTGATGCTCAACCCCTTGTCTTTCCAATGTATTTGTCTCTTCTACTATGAAGAGAACAACATATGCGGTCTCCCTTTGTTATTTAACATCTGAAGCAATCAACAACTACCATCAACTATTATGTGGGTTCTGAAAATTCACTCCCCGGCCTCTCTGCGGCCCCTTTCTTCCTTCTTTGGGTTGTCAGGAGAGTTTTAACATTTAAGTTTTGAGGCAAATTTTCAGAATGCATATTAGGTTGTAAATAAGACATCATCCAGAGATTTCGTCCTCATTTTGCGACTTTATGATCTGAATTTAGGTTTCCTATAGGCGCAAGCCCTTATAGTTAATTACTCCTCCCGATAGCGAGAGAGGATTCTTTTCAAATAGATACATTGTATCCGATATATAGTAGCAGCATAATTTAGTATTTGAAAATTTAATATTTAGAATTAAAAATTAACCACATTGCATTTAAGCAGATCGTGGGGAGAGTGATGATAGACCCGTTCAAGATCCCATGGTTATGTCATCTCGGGTCATCATGATTCCTAGTCTACTTAGTCAAGAGGAAGTTGTGGACCCAACCTGTGAGTAAGAGGCAAGGTCATTCGGTGGGTTGTAGTCAACTTTAATTTGTTAGTACTCTTATTACCCACATGTCCTATAATCATTTCTATTATTTTATATTAATATTCTCTCTAATTATAGTTAGAGCACTCTAGTGAAACTATTTAAATTGGGCAAGATTTTGTAATTTATTTTTTATACTTATTAAAAAATCTAGCATCCTTAATGTGGGGCTCTTAAATCTAAACACCTTATATTTAGGATTAATTATTATCTGCGGAGGCCAACCAGAATGAGATATATCAACGTTGTTCGATAATACGGTTTGGTACTGTTGATATGATACATTTTGATTGATCTCCAGATGATGTTTTGCATCTGTTCTCCACAAAAAAAAATTCTCTATATTTAAACTTCCATGACTGGTTTGCATTTCTTTGCTCTCCTTGCATTCATGGATGGCACTCCTCCTTGGTAATATCATAAAAGAAAGCTATGAGGCTTTCATCCAACATCAATGAACTATAATTGAAGCCAATTCTATCAAATCTCTTGCTGTTTATGATTTATGAAGGCATATTGAGAAGCAAATCCTTGAAATTTCATCAGTATAAATGATACCTTTTTTATCTATATTAGAGCTAAATTTACCGTTGAATAAAGCTTCTTACATATTTTCTGTACATTTCTGATGTAAAGGAATGTGAAGTTTCATAAAGTATATATGAAAATAAATCATTCTATGAAATTCAAATAATGTTTCAGAGTTTTTAGTTTAATTTTATATTAAATAGATAAAAATATGTTTGTGTACATAAAATATCAAATAATTTGTCACTCTCATGAGCTCAAATTTTTAGATCTGATAAAAAATAGAATCATAGATGCAAAATTTAACTATAATTCACAGACTCAATAATTTCTACCATCTGAGAGTTGAAAATTTTTTTTATGATAGGATGATATTAGGATTTCATTTGGAATAATTTTTTTATTATTTTTTTTTAATTTTTTTTTTTTTGAACTAGAAATTTTTGTAATAGAAAGTTGTTAAAAAAAAAATAGTAGGAAAATTGTCTCAAACGAAACCTAAAAACTTTTAATTCTATTTTGAGAATTGGATGAAATAATTATCAATATTTTTTTACTAATCTTAAAGCATATCTGAGAATTTTAAAGTCTATTCTATTCAAAAGTCATCTATGAAATGGAGCCTTTTTTGAAGAAATTATTCCGACTAGAGGACGGACTCTGAACGGGAAGTTTATGTCTGAATTGTGAGTGTACAAATTATATATAAAAATTATACATAGCGTACATAATATGTGCACTCACAGTCCGAACTCTCCAGACAGAATGATTTTTCTTTTTTTTTTTCACTCAAACCTATTTTAACTCTATTTTTCATTTTTTTAAATGGAAAATTTTATTTATCGAACATAATCTTAAATTTCATGAAATATTAATTGCAAATATTTCCATGATATCAAAATTTATTTGATGATAAATATCTCATAGATAAATACTAAAATCTTACGTATTGATTTTTTTAATCTTTTTATAAGATATTACGGTCCTTGCATGCAGGTGTCATGCAATATAGGATTTATTTTGTCTTATTGATAATCTCTATTGCTTTGATGTTTGTATTTTATTGTTTATTTAAGTGGCTCTGTAAGCTCCACCAAAGTTATTTGTCTGGTTCTTAACTTTTGCATTTCCAGCCCTGGCCATCGCTGTATCTGCTGGTCAAAGTCTTAGCCGCGTTGCACGCTTTATTTCCTAATTTTATAAATATTTTTGGCTCTTTGCTATTTCCATTTTATTGATAGTTTTGTTCTGCTTATAAGCTTCTTTGACTAACTCCATATAAGATTGTGTCGGTGGAGTTCTTACAGAAAAAAAAAAAAAATATATATATATATATAT